TTCAATTCACAAATAAGAAAAATTAAATAAAAAATAATTCCGACATGGTTTATCAAATTTAAGTTTATTTACTTGATTCAAAATAAATAAAAATATAACATAAAACCATAAATAACTAAAACTATAAAATAAAAATAGAAAACAAAATGTCAAAAAGATAAAATTTTTTTTATCAAATTGTTGAAATTATATATATATATATATATATATATATATATATATATATATATATATATATATATATATATATATATATATATATATATATATATATATATATATATATATATGAGTAAATTACACGAATAGTCCTTATGGTTTAGGGTAATTTGCGTGTTTGATCCCTAACTTATTTTTTTAACTCGGAAGGTCCCTACTATTTGTTTTTGTTACAGAATTGGTCATTGTCTTACCTAAAAATATTATTTTTCCCTTGATTTTTTAATTTATTTAAATAAACACACCCCAACCTGTAACACTCAGTTTCCCAGGTATATTGATTTATGTTGCATTTCTTTAATTATGTAGGGTGACTCGACGAGTTGGTGCTTAGACTAGTTGAGTCTGGTCGTGACTGGATGACGTGGTTAAAGAGGGGACTCGACGAGTCAGGGGAGCGACTCGCTGAGTCAGAGCTAACGAAAGAAACCATAATTTCTCGGATTTGGGACCTATTTAAAGGCCCTTATGGCCTTCATTTGTGGCTACCAGTCCATAGAGAGAAACCCTAGAGTGCTTGAGCGTTTTTTTTAGAGATAAAGGAAGCCATTCTTGACCTTTGTTGTGTTGTTTAACAAGAAGAAGGAGGTCCTAACCAAGAGGAAGCAAAGGAGGTTGCTATTCTGTGGATTTGAAGCTAAGATCATCGCATTTGAGGTATTAATTCGGCTCATCTTCTGTTTTATGAAGTATATTTGGATTTAGGGTTTCTTGTGGCCTTTGTTAGGTTGATTTGATGTCCTAATAGTCCCTTTCTGGTGATGAGACTTTTGATCTGGATCCATAGAGGTCCAGAGAGCCTCACTCATCAAGCTTTATGGAGAGCAATGGAGGTTATGACCATGGGTTGTGGTATTTGGGGCTAAATCATCATATATGGTCATATAGATGTTGCATGTACATCAAGATAGAGACTTTACGTGATTATTGAGCTTGGAAAGGTTAGATCTAACGATTAGAGGAATAGATCTGACCTCAGAAGGTTGTTTGAGGTTGTGCATGAAACGAACTCGCCGAGTCAATGAGCAGACTCGACGAGTCGGAGCGGGTTGTCCCGTGACTCAGATCAGTGCATGACTCACCGAGTTGGATGAGTGACTCGGTGAGTCATAAGGGAATCAAAGGACTCGAGTTCACGTATGGACTCGACGAGTCTATGCAAGAATCGACGAGTCGGGTCAAAGGTTGATCGTTGACTAGGGTTGACTAGTGTTGACTTAATAGCGTTAGTCAAACTAAGTCAGGAAGGTATTAATTAGAGATGTACTTATGATATAAGAGTCGATACGTCAGGGACTCGAGCTCGAGTGATTATCCGACATCAGCAAGGTGAGTCTACTCACTATGCCATACCCAATGGGGTAACTAGGTGTGATCGGAAGGTCTTATGTGTATGATGTTTATGTGATGCATGTTACATATGTGATATGTTATGAGTATGATGATATGGATCGAAAGGTCAACAAAGTATGGGCCAGAAGGTCAACAGGGTTATGGGATGGAAATCCCCTGAGACACTTGGATCGGAAGATCCAATAGAGTTATGGCCTGGAAAGGCGTATGTGTTGTATGTCGTATTTTGGAGAACTCACTAAGCATTTATGTTTACTGTTTGTGTGTTATGTGTTTCAGGTACCAGTAATGATCGCGGGAAGGCGCCGACATGATCAGTACACACTTGCAGATGATATGTTTTTGAGATCTTGGGATATGGATTTTGTACTGTGTTTTCGGTGAAAATATCGGATATATGATTTTGGGATGATTTGGAAATGAAATGTCTTATTAAAATTAAATGAAAAATTGTTTGAAATTTAACAGTGTTACCCAACCCCATCCCCTCCACCTTACCTTACTTACCTTATTATTTTTTTCCTATTTAAATAATAGTTTATTAGGTAAGACAGAGATCAAACGTGTAACAAAAATAAACAATAGGGACCAAGCGCGTAACAAAAACAAATAGTAGGGACCTTCCGAGTTAAAAAATAAGTTAGGGACCAAACGAGCAGTTTACTATATATATATATATATATATATATATATATATATATATATATATATATATATATATATATATATATATATATATATATATATAGGGTAAATTACACCAATCATCCCTCATGCAGGTACCAAAAAGCATGTTTAGTCCCTATTTTAAAAAATTAACTCTGAAAGTCCCTTGTTTGATTAAAAGTTGCACACTTCATCCCTCTGGGCATAAAAAGACCATTTTGCCCTTATTTATTTATTTATTTATTTTATCTATTTTTCTATTTTTTTGTAATTATTAATTATTTATTTATTAAAAAAACTTTTAAAAAGAAATTAGGGCCCTAAGCAGACATTCATAACTCGTCTCCCAAACCCCTTTCTTCTTCGAAACACCTCTTATCCACGACCACCACCCACAGACGCGACCCCAACGACAACTTCCGCCGACTTCATTACTCCGGCGACTTCTCCGGGTGACTCCACCAAGCCACCCCCTTCCCTTTCCCCAATTTCCTTTCTTCTTCTTCTTCTTCTTCTTCTTCTTCTTCTTCTTCTTCTTCTTCTTCTTCTTCTTCTTCTGCTTCTGCTTCTTTGAATTCGATCGTTCATCTACGCCACACACATGTTCTCTCTCTTCACTATCCTCTTTCTAATCTCCGGCACCTCCATCTATCACCGCTAGCACCTCCTGTAACCACCAGTAGTCATCATTCAAATCTCAAAAAATGAACCCTAAACTTGTAAATCGAAGAAGAGGGAGATTCAGATCGGAGAAGCAAGCTCATATTGAACCCAAATCTTCTCAATTGATGACGAAGACGGAGAGGGGATCACATTCCATGCGGTGTTTGATATGGTTTTCAGGCCCTGATTTCATGGCAGTTCTAGGCGGTTTTGGTGAAGGTGAGATTCAGAAATGGTTTTCGGTATTCAGCAACAAGTTTGATTGTTAAGAGGTGGCATTTAAAGGCGGCAATTTTCGAGGGTGGTTGCAGCAACGGTTGGTATTTTCGGTGGTGTGGAGGTTAGAAACAGGTGGTGTAGAGGTTGGGATCCCTGATGGGCAACCGGTGTTACCAGTGAAGTGGTTCATGTTGAAGGCGGTGTTCAGGAAAAAAATGGTTGATGGTTCTATTGATTCGGGAGGCTACAAAAAAGTGGCCGAATTTTGACTTTAAGGGGTGTGCTCTGGTGGTGGTTGATCGGAACTGGTGGATCTGTGGTTTTACAAGAATTAACAAAAGAGGGAGGAAGAGAGATGAGCAAAAGGAAGGTGGGGGGGGGGTCGGGGTAGGGTGGTAGGGATATTTGGGTTTTTTCTTTTATTTTTAAATTAGTAATAATTATTATAACATTTAAATTAATTGGAAAATAAATACAAAAGGGTATAACAGTCATTTTATAACTCGTAAGGGATGAAGCTTGCAAATTTAAACTTACAAGGGATGAAGCGTGCAATTTTTAATCAAACGAGGGACGGTCCGATTTAATTTTTGAAAATAGGGACTAAACGTGCTTTCTAGCACCTACACAAGGGACCATTGGTGTAATTTACCCATATATATATATATATATATATATATATATATATATATATATATATATATATATATATATATATTTCGAAATTTACTATATTTATATATATACAAAATGCGAAATTTATCTTTTATATATATATATATATATATATATATATATATATATATATATATATATAATTTCGAATTTAGAAAATTACACGAATGATCCTTGAGGTTTATAGTGTATTGCAATATTGGTACAAAGGCAATATAATCTTTTTCGTTAAATCTAATAGTTGAATAGTTAGATTTAACGGCAGGAAGACCTTTCATGTAATTATACAAACCACATGGACCAGTCGCGTGACTTTTTGTTAGGAAGTCCTCAAAGTACGATATTCTGTAAACCACATGGACCAATTGTGAACTTTTGTGTTAATTTAATTATATTTATTAATCATTTTATTTTATTTTTAAAAAAGAAAAACACAATAATTCAAAATCCTATGCCATATCCTTCGCGCCTCTTTTTCCTCTTTTCTTCATCTTCACAGTGTATCCTCCCTCTTTATAACCAACTTCCCTTTCCCCTTAATCAATTTCTTTATTTTTCTGTAAAACGACGAAGACATAAATTCATCGCCGGAGACGATGTAGCTTCACCGGGTTCAGAACCAAAGCACACTTCCAGTCATCTTCGGCTACAATCGTCTCTCCCCTTCACCTGTCAAGATGGTCGCTTTGGTATCTTCTTCATTAGGAGCACAGTCACCTACCATGAAAACCCACCTTAAAAGCCATCTTACTTTTTTGGTGTTGTTATTTCTTCTTTAATCTGACCATTAGGGCTTGTATTTTGTTTCTCCATGTAATTAAATATGAGCTTATTTCCCTTAATTTGAATTTTCATTTGTAGTTCATAGGATGGTGGGTTCTTTGGGGATTTTTGAAAGACGAGAATGAAAAACAATTGAGAACTATGAATACATTAGTTATTGTAGTTATTGGGTTTTCAAATTGAGTTCATATGTGGATTTTTTTGGTTATTATGTTGGATATTTTGGGATATTTTTGAGATATTAGAACAAATGAGTTTGTTTTTTCATGTTGGTCGTTTGGTGATTGGAAAGCCAGACACAGTGGTCATCTTTAGTGTTGCTGGAAATCTCATTATAAATCAGACACATAAATTGAGCCATTGTTTGATGGAGCAAAAATGAAATGTTGAAGGATCGTGCAGAAATCTAGAGTTGATAAAAGATGTCCGGTGGCGGTGATGAGGTTTGATATTGATGTCCTCCGACGGCGACGTCTGATAAATGAGGGCAACAATTTTTGGGGGGAATAGGGGACTTGGATTATTATTATTTTTTAAATATATATAAAATGATTAATAAATAACATAAAATTAAAAAAGAAATACATAAGGGTATAATAATCTTTTTATATTAATCAGGGACCAACAACGTAACAAAATCAAACTATAGTGATGATCCGAATAAAAAAAAGTTAGAGATCAAATGCACAAATTATTTATCAAATGACCATTCATGTAATTTACTTAAAATTTTGTTAACCATTTGACCCCCCCTAAACATCATTTGGAGAAGTAAACCCATTCATTTCGTTCTCATTTTCCCGAGGCCGGGTCGGGTCAGAGGAGGAGATTTTTTTGTATTCCCGCTTACCCTGTCTCACGCGCGCATTACGTCGAACAACTGCTCGGTTCCCAAATCGATTTGAAGTTCGAAATCAAGGCTTATCGTGCTCGGAACATATGTTTCGGGTCAGGGTTTGCATGGTCTCGACAATTATGATGATTTACTAACCTTGGTAATTAGAAATTCAAGAATTTCAGTAGCGAATTTGTACAGAAGATTATAACCCCTTTCTTAGTTGTTCGTGGCACGAACTGCTGGATAAATTATCAGTACACGCCATTGTTAGCCTTCGAAGTAAACCTGAAATTTGTAAGTTTGGGTCCTTTTTACCATTGAAACTTTACACTTTCTATTTCTCGTTTTCGTATTAAATTGATTATTAGTTTCCATCTTACTTCATAATGTTTGTAACTTGCTACGATTATACTTCAGTGTTTTCATCTGTACAACACCAATGGCCATAATGTATCACTGGTCTGCTATCTTTATTTCTTTTATCATTTTAGTTTATCTAGTTTACACTTTGGTATCTTCAGCTACATCATAATAGAATTGTTGTTCCACATGGTTTTGTAAGCATTCCTGATGTTACAATTGTTCATTGTAAGCCACTCAATTACAACAATTTGAAATTGGTATGGATGTTATACATGGATTCTCTATAGGAAACTATGAATTAAAGTGCTAGTTCCACTAATTTAAAATTTCTCTCTTTCTCTAATTCAGAAAATTTTAGCATGCAGTGTTTAAGTGAAAGATGCTTGATACATGCAAATATTTTTCAAGCTGCACGAGGATATAGACATGTTTTGAATAGAAAAATGAGGTACATTTGATGTAATACCAATCATCTTGTGAATGATTTAGGTAAAGTATTAATCTTTTGAATTCTTTCAGGTTAAATGGTCTTCTGTTGTGCAATATTTCAAAATATTTCTCTACATCTAATCATAAATTAACACAAAATGTGTTTCACAAAGTAGACAGTTATGGAAGCGCATGCAGGTTGGACAGGAGGAAACTGCTCGATAAAGTAATGTGCTCATCAGACAATTTTGTATCAATTGCATGTATATTATAAATAAAAGATAATTTGAATATCGTTTCATTTGCTTGTAGGTATCTGCCACTATGTATCAAGATAGTTTTGATGAACTCATTGATGAAGGAAAACATGTTTTTGATGCATCTTTGGTTCGAAAACAATTTCCTTCAATCATATTAGGGAAATCTAGCCCAGTAGAATTATACGATGGAATTTCAGATGCCCCTGAAAAGAGTAACATATTGACAGAAGAAATTTATAGTGACTCATGGGATTCAATAGCTAATGAGTTTAATCAGTTTTCATCCTACAAGATTGAAAGTATATCAGATCAAAGTACTCTGGACTCAACATTTTCATCAAAAGAAGAGAACTCTTCCTCTTCCACTTCCACATTGCCATCATATGCTAAATCCCCAAATCCTGTTCAATCTGATCTTCAATGTAGTGTCAGTGATCCATTTGAATTGATACTTGATAAATCCATCAGCTGTATACCTGTATTAAGCAAGAAGCAATGCACTCAGTTGGAAAATTGTGGTTTGCATACGGTGGGTTGTGTTTTTTTTGGCATTTCCATTAATACCCTTGTAATCTTTTTGAAATCGAGTTCTTTTTTTCGATTTATAGATACGGAAGTTGCTGAGTCATTTCCCAAGAACATATGCTGACTTACAAAATGCACAGTTTACAATTGATGATGGACAATACTTAATATTTGTTGGAAAAGTTCTATCATCCAGGTTATTGTGATTTAAAATATTAAAGTAAATCTTTTTTGTTTTTTCATTTTTAAGTTACTAATATGTTATTGAAATGTAGGGGAATCAAAGCAAGTTGTTCTCTATCATTTCTTGAAGTGATTGTTGGTTGTGAGGTTGCAGAAAGTGGTTCATCTTCAGCATGCATGGTTTCTGAACATAACAATGGAAGCAAAAAAACAATATATTTGCACTTAAAGAAGTTTTTTCGTGGGACCCGTTTTACATATCAACCGTTTTTGCGTAGTCTTCAGGAGAAACAGAAAGAGGGAGACATTGTATGTGTCAGTGGCAAGGTAGTAAATATCTCCAACTTTTTTTGGATTATGAAGCAAGATGATGCAGAATTCTTACTTGATGTTGTTTTGATTCAGGTGAAGACTATGCGTACAAAAGATCATTATGAAATGAGGGAATATAATATGGATTTAATTCGAGATGATGATGATGAATCTGCATGTGCTGAAGGAAGACCTTACCCAATTTACCCTTCAAAAGGTGGTCTTAACCCAAAGTTACTCAGTGACATTATTGCGAGGTTTTGTTTTCCACTTTTTCCATTTCTTTAATCACTTAATGTCTTGATCTATATTTGTAGCTATATTCGTTTGCTCTTTTATATTTTCCAGAGTTTTAGACACCTTGCCACCTGGCATAGATCCTATTCCCAACAATACCCTTCAGATGTTTGGATTAAAAAGCCTCCGTGATGTAAGTATATGCTAAATTTCCATCGCTTTCCTGTCTTTTTTTTTTTTATTTATTTATTTTCTAAATGTGAGGTGCTTATGTAGTTATGTGATTGTGTATATAAATTGTGTAATACTTAATGCAGGCATATATTGGGATTCATCAGCCATCAAATTTTAAAGAGGCTGATTTAGCTCGCAAAAGGATTATATTTGATGAGTTTTTCTACCTTCAGGTAATTTTATGTCATTTAAACTTTACCATTTCTTTTATTATTATTATTATTATTTTTGTATTTGACAATGTGTAAGTTAATAACAGTTGGGACGATTGTTTCAAATGCTTGAAGGACTTGGGACATGGATTGAGAAAGATGGGTTACTGAATAAATACAGAAACCCTTCAACAAATGCAGCATTTACTGATGAATGGTGTTCTCTTACCAAAAAGTTCTTGAATTCTCTACCATATTCGTTGACTTCTAGTCAACTCACTGCTGTTTCAGAAATCATTTGGGACTTAAAACGCCAAATTCCAATGAATCGACTTTTGCAGGTCTGAATTCAACTCAATTTAATCACATTTTTTTAATGCAAATTGTGGAAAAACTGATCAAGCTGATTGAATATTTGACTTTGATGTCTGTTTTCAGGGAGATGTGGGATGTGGGAAAACTGTGGTGGCCTTTTTGGCATGTATGGAGGTTATTGGTTCAGGATATCAGGTTGATTTAGTTTAGAGTAAATTACAGAAATGGTCCCTGTGGTTTATTGAAAGCGACAGATTCAGTCCATTCTTTCATGGACTTTTCTTGTGGTTTAATTTTCTTGCAGTTTTGGTCCATCTCACTCACTGTTGGAAATGAGACTTGAAGCCTTTACAAAATGACCGTTTTACCCCTCTTTTGTTATCCTTTTGTTTTATTTATTTATTTGTTTTTATGCAGGCAGCTTTCATGGTTCCAACTGAGTTGCTTGCTATTCAACACCATGATCGCCTTCTTAGCTTACTTGAAAACATGGAAGATGTTGATTCCAGACCATCTGTTGCTTTGCTTACAGGCTCCACTCCAGTTAAAAAAGCACGTTTAATTCGTGAGGTAATTATATTATTATTCACTTTGGATTTTTATATTATATTTACTTGAATATTCGAGTCTCAGGGTCTTCAAAGTGGAGAAATTTCATTGGTGATTGGGACCCACAGTTTAATTGCTGAAAAAGTGGAATTCTCTTGTTTACGGATTGCTGTAGTAGATGAACAACACAGATTTGGAGTGATCCAGAGAGGTCGATTTAATAGCAAGGTGGTTTTAACTTTTAATTATAAAGATTACTTAAAGCTTTTCACTTTTCATAATTAAAAGAATTGTGAATCACAATACAAAACCAACAAATTTTGGTAATCTTGCAGCTGTATAGTAATTCGGTAAATTCAAGATTGACAGAAATTGATTCCAATGGTTCATCAAAAGGTGACACAACTATGGCTCCTCATGTTCTTGCCATGACTGCAACTCCAATTCCAAGAACTCTTGCTTTAGCATTGTATGGAGATATGTCTCTCACACAAGTATGTAATTTTACTAAATAGTTTTATGTAATAAACATATTGCATTTTGATGTGTTTAATGTTGTTTTTTTTTTTTATTTTAAAAATTGATTCATAGATAACTGATTTGCCTCCTGGGAGAAAACCTATCGATACATATGCAGTTGAAGGAAATGAAGCCGGTTTTGAAGAGGTTTATCAGGTAGTTGTTAATAATAATATCACCGAATGTAATGTAATGTAACAACTTAATCATTCCTGTGTCGATTCCATTCCGATTGCAGATGATGAAGGAGGAATTGGAATCAGGAGGGCGAGTATACATAGTCTACCCAATCATCGACCAATCAGAACAACTCCCTCAGCTTCGTGGCGCATCTGCTGACCTGGAAGTAATCTCCAACAGATTCCAAGGCATCAACTGTGGGTTACTACACGGGCGAATGAAAAGCGATGAAAAAGACGAAGCTTTAAAAAATTTCAGATCCGGAGAAACACAAATATTACTTTCCACTCAAGTCATTGAAGTGGGAGTCGATGTTCCGGAAGCTTCCATGATGGTTGTTATGAATGCAGAAAGATTTGGGATCGCTCAGTTGCACCAACTCAGGGGACGAGTTGGACGTGGGGTCCGCAAATCAAAATGTCTGCTTTTGTCTTCAACAAGTAGCGGTTTGCCTAGGTTGAAGGTTCTAGAAAAGTCGTCGGATGGGTTCCACCTGGCGAACATGGATCTACTTTTGCGGGGCCCGGGTGACTTGTTGGGAAAGAAACAGTCAGGACATCTTCCCGAATTTCCAGTTGCTAGATTGGAAGTCGATGGGAATATACTGCAAGAAGCACACCTTGCTGCACTGGTAATAATAATAATAATAATAATATTAACATTTTTTCACTTTTATTTTTATTTATTATTTTTATTGTAATTATTATATTTTGTAGATGATTTTAAGCGAGTCGCATAATTTGGAGGGGTTCCCGAAGCTTAAAGCTGAGCTGAGTATGAGACAACCGCTCTGCCTTTTGGGTGATTAAAGATTGTAAATACTTTTTCAACGCAGACTCTTACGTATGATATGACTTGAAAACTTGTGGTTGGAAAAGTGTGGCACCTAAATTCATTTTGTTTCGGGGCTCATGTAAATCTTTTTCGTGTTGTAATCAAAATTAACAGTTATTATAGGTGCTAAAAGGAAGGGAAGTTGATCAAATGTGTATAGAAATTGAACAAAAATACAAAGTATCACTAACAAAATCAATAACCAAACTGAATAAATAATAAGTTTGATCTCAAAATCCGTGTACTTATCAAACAGAAGTATCCTGTAACATGGCTTGCAATTTATCAAGAAAAGCTTGGAGCTCTTTAAATTCTTGGGTTTCTGAAAACTTCAAAGCTGCCTGTTTGATCGTGCTCTTAAGGTGCATCTCACCTGCACACAATTCCCTCCGCCCACCTATCTCAACATAAACTTTACATAATTCCAAAGATGCCCTTGAAAACTTCACAAATCGTTCTTTCTCCTTCCAAACTTCCGACCCTTGATACGCCCTAACCTCCTTCAACAAAGCTTCACAACACATTGCAAGATCACCTTTCAACTTATACCACCTCCCAAACAACCCCCAAACCCCACCACCACCACCACCGTTTTTCACAACACCCTTCAAAATCTCCCCAATCATCTCACTTTCGCGACTTCTTTCCACTTCTACCCTTTCAATTTCCACCATTACCCTCTCCAACAACTCAACATCAACTCTCTTATACTTACTCAAACTCAACACCTTCTCTACAGCTTCCAAAGCTAGACAAAAATTCCCACTATCAACTGCCACCTGGCTATAATTCTCCCACATTTGCCAGCTGTCACGTTTGTACTTCAAAGCCTCCTTAAACGCAACCATCGCCTCTTTACTTCTCTTTTTTGTCATATGTAAACATGCAATGTTATTCCATGCTTCTCCATTATCTGGATCGAGTTGAACAGCACGTGAGAATCCATCTAAAGCTTTTTCAAGATCTCTAGCTTTCAAAGCAGCTGCTCCTAAAGCAAACCATCCATCTGGATATAAAGAATTTAACTTCATTGCGGATTCCCATAAAAGTTTTGATTTTTCGTATTCGCCTCTGTTGTATGCGCTTCGTGCAAGTGACCGTTTTGCCCTTACAGATTTGTTTTCTGAAACTTCCAAGGCTTTGTGATAGCACGAATCTTGATCTGTGACATCGCCTAAAGAACACCATAATCTTGGGTCATTTGGGTGTTGTAAAAGACGGGTGTTTATGAGTTCTACAGAAGCGGATTTCTTTTGTAGTAAACGATAACAAAAGATGACATTATCCCAAAGTTCAAGATCTTCATACGTTCTTACAGCTTCTCCTATTAACCCACAAGAGACTAAAAGATCTGCGTATTCTTTACGAAGAGAAGGAATAGTGGGAAAGTCAACACCGAAACAGAAACACATCCTTTCTGCAACTGCAACTCCAGGGGTAGAATCGTAAATTCCTTGGACGACTTTATCCATCATTAAAATAGCACGTTCTTTGGTTCGGCTACGGGTTCTTTCCCATCTTATACGTAACAAGTCACAGAAAGATCTGATGATGAACAATGAAGATGATTGGGAATCGATTGCTTCAATGTATGGAGCCATGTCCCACCTTTGCATTTCATCATGTGGAGTGTTTTTCTCAATTAGAAGACATTGTGCTAAAATCAGTGCTTGTTGGACTGGTTTTAGACTACCTTCATTGTTGGATTCTAGGAATTTAGGTGTCAAGAACACATCAGATGCTTCATGAAGCTGAGGATCATGCTGAGAAGATTTGTCAGAATGACCATTTGTGGAGCTTGAGTTATTGGTAATGAGTCGAAGCTGTGCTTTTGGATCCACCTGATGTACAGTTCGGAAACCTAAAGAACCACTAACAGAAAGTGAAAGTCCAGATGCTTTTTCAGAAGATTCGAAATGCAACTTCGAAGAATCAACACGTCCATATCTGAAATCAATGATCCCAAGCTCTAAGTGAAGCATAGATACAATATCGCTCAAATTCCCTTCTTCAATCCCTGGCCAATACCTTGATACTTTCTTTAGATCACCCAAATGAGCTAAAGTTTCAGGAATTAAATCTTGCAATTTTTGAAAAAGAACTGAGGAGTGGCCATCGAGGAGTTTCTGTTGGATCAGTAATACCCTAGCTAACCACCATGAAATCGTTGGAAAGATTGTACTGTTTTCGTTTCCGAAATGAGCTCTAATTGTTGACAACAGTAGCTTGGCGAAAACTATGTATTCTAAACTGAAAAACTTTCCCAACAAATCAGAGCCAGTTGACATTACCTCATTGCGTGCCCAAACTTCTATGTCTTCTTTAGCTATATTAGTGAACAACGGAGGCAGTGTCTCTGGAGGACCGGTAACGTTAGCCTGTACGAAAGCTAAAAAAGCCGAGACAGCCACGGCAACTACGAGAAATGCCTTTTCTTCGGTGCTCGTTTCACTGTTTTCAGAAATTAAGAAGGAGCTGACAGAATCTGTGATTGAATCCGAGTAGGAAGACGATACCTGGTCGAGATTGAGGAGAAAATCCGCCGATTTGGATGTCAAGGCTATGGAGTAGTGCCCTGATTCAATTGATTGGAGTACGGATTCTATAGAGGTTTGTAGGGGATGGGGAGTGATTGAGATTTGAGAACTAGCAAGGGGCTGATCATGTGAGATTGAACAACGAAGAAGACGAAGCTCGTAGGTACGTAGGCTTTGCAGAAGCATGTCTAACCCCTGTTCCGCCATTGAAGAGTATGTTAAGGTAGGGTTTGGGACGTAGGGTTTTAAAGGTTCTCGTATTTTTGTTTGACTGGTTGACTTTTTACGATTCGAAACAAAACTAGCTCGGGAAAGAAGGTGGAAAAATTGTAATGAGCAATTTAATCGGATTAGGTGATAATTACTCAGGTATCCAAAATTATTAATAAAAGTATTTAAAAAATTAATATTTCCTAAGATTAAGTATTTAAATTTTTTTTAATTTAAATATTTGAAAACTTAAAAATTTAAAATTTTGATGTAATATTTGAAAATTAAAAATTTTGAATTTTTTAAATATTTTCTGCCTATGTAGAGGATCGCCAAGGACCACAAAACCCGATTTCTGCCAAATATCCTAATCGTAATCGGTTCAAGGTCGCCAAACGATTAATCGGTCGTCAATGCCGATTTCCACAACATTGCTATGAAATATGAAGGATCTCAACTTAGAAACATTAATCATTTTGACGCCCACTTCATACCAGGTTGTTTTGAAGCCAAGCGGATTTGAAATCATCGCTATTATCCTCCAATTTATCTCTAGTCTTTAAGATTAATCTCACTTTATTCTCATATTTTGGTAGAACTGTTTAATTTTGAATATTTTTTTCTTCTATTTTGTAGTTATGTGTCTTAAATAGTTAAATATAATGAAGACATATTGTTCCATTGCAAGTATAATGTCGTATAGTTACCGAAAAATCTTATGTTTTAAGCGGATTAACTTCACCTTATGAAAAGCTTCTCATATTCACAAATGTTGCCAATTATTAGTTGTTGGTTCATCTATTCTATCAATTTCTAATACTTCTAAGATCATTTTTTGCAATCACTCGAATTTGATTACCATTTTTTGCAATCATTCGAATTTGATTACCATTTTTTTGTTTTTTCAAGAATATTTTGAATATCTTTTGTTAACAGGTTCGAATTAAGAGAAGCAAAATCCATGCATGAGGTCCAGTTAGAATAGTCAGACTCCTAACATCCCACTTGTAAATATGAATATATAAATATCACAGAAAGAGCGTACTTGTAATTTCTTTGCCACTCTAATGAAATGATGTTTATACAAACTACCAAGAGATTGTTAACATATTTATTTATTAACATTTTAAAATTTACTTTTAAAATTATATTTTATATAGATATTGTTTTATATACAACTTCAAAATGGTTGAGGAAAGAGCCAAATATGAGCATTAGGCAAGAGATTGTTATGATTATGCAATAAAGTATACAAATTAGGCAAAATGGGTACCAAAAATGATATAAAACTTGATGGGTTATAATAATTTCTCTTGATTATAAACATAATTATGGTATGTTTTTTTTTTTTTTTACAACAAATAAAGACACTATACAACAAAGAAAAAGTAATATAGAATAATTTTTTTTTGAAAGTATGATGCTTTAATGGGTAGATTATTCAAATTATATTTTCTTAGTAAGGAAACATATGAAAGTATAATGTTGTACTAGAGAGAAATGAATGTAAGATGTCATAATATTCAAATATGTAAAAGTGTATTGCTATTTTTTGAATTTACTGATTGCAATTAATGTTTGGTTTTTCTTTTGTTAAGGATGGGAGAAAGTTGAAAACTGAGGCCTTTTTATTAAGGCATCAATTTGAGGTTCTAACTATTAGAAACTCGACTCTCGAGGATTGAATTGTTCAACTTGACAATTCCTTAAAAGAATGTTTGAGACAACTTCGACAAACACAGGAATAAAAACACTAAATTTCCCGTAAAGCCCTTGAAGATGTTTGTGAGTCTTGTACCTGACAATAGTGCTAAAACACTTTCAAGGTAATCTGACATGGTGGATGATGTCATCAAAACTCAAGCATACCATAGAGTGAGCTTGCTAGAGTGAACCTCAAAGAGATTAATTTGTCTGATTACCCATTTAAGTATATGGGTTTGCAGGCTGAAAAGTAAATGGGTCGAACTCAACCCATATAACCTATTTAATAAATAAGCGATGCATTTTAAAAAATGAGATATTTTCAACATAAAGACATAAAGTGATTAAACTAATTAACATAAAAAAAAGAGGCTTTCAACATAAGTTCATAAAGTCATTAACATCCAAATAAAATTGAAAAATGAAAACATTTATATAAAGTGATGCGTTCTTCATTCGTGTCTCGTAAATATCTAAAAATGACATGTTTTTTTTTTTTTTTTTTTTTTGTTATTTAATTAAGCCACCGCAAACGCGGACTAACCACATACAAATATGGAAGGAATACAATGATACAAAATATTATGAATATGGAAGGAAATCAGATTTCGTGGGTCAACCCGCCAACCCGTATGTGTGTGTGTGTGTGTGTGTGTATATATATATATACACACACACATACGGGTTGGCGGGTTGACCCACGAACCCATACAGGTAACCCAACCCATGAAATAAACGGGTTGGTGGGTTGACACGTCAAAAATCTCAACCAAAACCCGTCTATTTTCGGGTTGGGTCAGTGTCAGCTTACGGGTTGGGTCAAGAGTTGTCACCTCTAATTAGAAAGACATTTTGTGTTACCACCAGCTTTCTGGGAAGATGTAGAGGCGGTACAAGTTAGCGCAAGTATGACTGGCTTCCAAGGTGAGCTTCAACAACTTCAAGATTTGAGAAGGGTAAACCATTTTTTAAAATTGGTTGTTCAAACCAAGGAGTTAATTCAGAAATACACAACAAAAGATGCACAATTTAGAACCCAATTTGGAACACGATTGTTAGGTCTCAGTCAAGCAGGTTGACTAAGAACTCACAAGACCGATTAAGTAGATTTGCATCAAATTTGAAGCAAAGTTGCAAATAGTGATGGTAAAACTGGCCGGTCAATGAAGGAACACATGGCACTCATGATATTCAAGATAGTCGTCTAGTATGCTTTCTTGAAATTTTAATATAAATTGTTCACTTATATGTGTTTTAAACTAGGCAATTTTGGATCATCATTATTGTTCGTTTTGTCATTTGCCAAACAGAATATGCCTTTCTAACTTTGGGAAGACAAATAATGTCTTTAGATGCGAATGAAGACGTTGTAGTTGCGACCTTGAAACAAAGCTTGGTAATATAACTGTTTAGGGTAACAAATAGCAACATACTTTGCTTCATTTACCAATATAGGCAACACATTATATTTTATTACCTATAATAGCAACCAAATTAAATTATTTTACCATTAATATGAATGTGTAAGAAAAAATTACAGTTTCCATAATCCACATCTGTTGTGAAATATAAGAATGTTGGTATTACAGGTAAAAAACAAAGTACATTGCTATTATTGGTAAATAAATGTTAATATGTTTCCATTATGGGTAAGAAATAAAGTATAGAATAATATACTTTGATTTGATAGCAAGATTAAAACATGTTGCTATTTTTCGTAATTTTTCCTATTACCTCTATCTTACAAACCTATATATATATATTAGTTTATAAAGGATATTGAGTAGTCCATTAATTGTTTCAAGATACTACCAAATGAAAATCATTCACCTAATTGAGACATTTTATATGAAAAAAGAATCATTTATATGTATGGCATAAAGTTGTTAATTGTTTGTTTGTTTTTATTTAAATATATTATGGTGATTTTGAAGAGGCAATTAAAAGCATTAGGTGCACAAAAGGGTAGATCTAGACGATATGCTTAAAAATATGATGAGGAAAGTATTTATTAATGATTTCTAATTTGCTTGAAAAATAAGCATAGTACTTTAAAAAATTGATTAATCCACGTTGACTAGGAGAGCAAACATACGGGTTCTTGTGGAAGTCGGTGTAACCCTTCAAATATTGTAGCACAAAGTAATTTTTTTTGGGAAATTTCTAACGTGTCACCCTGAAAATCATGTGTGCTACCCCTGATATGGTTGCGGGTAATATGGTAGCATACCACCATAAAGATAAACGGAGGACATATAAATTGGTTGATCAAAACAGTAGTGCTTCTTGTGGGTGTTTTTTGATTGTTTGGGTTGTTAAAAGAATATATTTTTTGAATTCATGAGAGATAAAATATAGAGAGATAAAAGAAGTGTATTGAGGTGTGGTAAGTTTAAATCTTGAGTTGTATTTATAGGTAAATAAATAAATAAATTGCAAGTTGAAAATAAATAGTAACAAATTAGATGAGAGAGAGAGAGAGAGAGCAAATTCCACGGAAGAACTGCAACCACACCTACTGCCTGTCTTCCTTTTACGTGAGCCCTTCTTTTAATTGAATCTAGAAGGCCATGTGGTATACATACAACGACGCCGGTCATGGTTGACCTGGCCACGAACAACTATCGTGCACACCACCCCGTTGTTTCGTGGTCAGCCGTTGTCGTAGTGGTTCGTGTTCGGAATAATGGATGGAAATGTCCAATATAATCGAAGACCACTTTGACCAATTTCTATAGCCGTCCAATGACTAGTTTATTTAAAAAAGAAAACAAAAATTTAACAAATTTATTTACCAATAAATACCACATTTTTACCATTACTTTTTACATCATTCTTTTCTTTCTCCATACACAAACTACACACTACATCTTCACAACCAAAAACTATGGATCTCAACCAAAATACCCCTCTAAACTATAAAAATCACAAACCCGATAATGCTTTTGCGTTAGATACAACCCCTCGCTAATTCCCGACTATCGAGTCACTTCAAGACGGTTTTGTCAATCTGCTTCAAACCAGTTCCTCTATCAAACAAGCACTACTTTTCCAACAACAACATCAATATTTTCTATCTTTCCAACAACAAATGCAACAAAAATACCAACAGTTTCAACAATTCCAACAACTCCAACAACAATCACCAATTTCACAACCACCACTTTCGCCTGATTTGGTTGCGGAAATGCAACCTTCACCACCACCTCAACCAAAAAAGAAAAAAGGATAAAAACCGGCCCGACCCACTACCACCCAAGAAAGGGTCCCATGGACAAAAGACGAAGAAGAAAAGTTAGCAAAGGCATGAGTGGCGACTTCCCAAGATCAAATTGTAGGAGATAGTCAGCCTTACGGAAGTTTTTGGGAGAAAGTCCGAGCCATTTTCTACAAGTTAATGAAAAGTGAAACTCGAAATGCCGACCAAATTACGTCGAAATGGCGAGATATTCGACTAAAATGCACCGAGTTTGGAGGAATCTACAACAACCTCCTAAACATACGCAAAAGCGGCTCAAACGATTTTGATGTTTTCAAGGCGACCATGGAGCAATTTGAAAAAACAACAGACGCAAAGCTTTTCCATATATGAAACCGTGACTGAAATTGAAAGACGTTTCAAAATGGAAAGAGCAAACGGAAGGAACTTCGCAATCTTCCGATTCAAAGCGTTCGTGAAACCCTAATAGAACTTCCCAACAATCGGACGACCGAACACATATCGACATCAACGACGATCCGCTAGATCTTGAAAATGACCAACCTCTTCGTCGGCCCGTTGGAAGAAATAAAGCAAAAAAAGCAGCTTCAACATCTTCGAACTCTAGTGTTATGGATATGTTTGACGATATATTTGATCGATATTTGCAATTTGAAGAAATGAAGGCCAAGTGATGACTCGGATGGAGAAAAATATGATTGAAGCACAAACATCATTTCAAGAGGCACAAGCGACAATCCAAACAAAAACCGTATGCAAATCTTGAAAATGAAAGCAACGGACGACCTCGAGGGCGAAGACTTGAAACTTTTCCTCGCAATTAAAGAGTCGGTTCGAGCCCAACGTAAGCGTATGGGGTAGTTTATTTTATTTATGGTTGGAATTTTTAGTTTTTTTTAATTTTTTTTTTATTTTAAGTAATGTAATTTTTATTTTTATTGTTATTTTTTTTTCAATTAATATAGTTTTTATTTAATGTAATTTGGTCTTTTAATTTAATGGAAAACTAGTATTAAAAAATGATGTTAATGTAGTTTTGAATTAAATTTAAATAAAAAAATAAGATGAAGTGGTATGTATAATGATAGGTATTCATTGGTTAGTGGTAGCGAATTGGGTGCTAATGTAACACCCATCACACATGTATGATCCACCACATATGTAGTGGGTATAACAGATGAGATAATATGTCAACCTTGTTCTTTTAGGTTAGAATCAATATTTTTATAGTTAAATAAACTATTATTATAAATATTTAAAAATTACTTTTTATATTTGAATAAACACCACAAAAATAATTATGAGCAACATATTGCATATAAAACTAGCTCACACACGAACATATATAAGCACAAACACACATCACACACAACCATCGTCAGAGTGAATCATGTATATCATTCCAACATAATCTTAACTAAATACTAGTTCTAGTAAATAGTATATTGTTTTCGTCAATTCAAATATCTAAGCCTATAAAAGTTTTTTAATCCTAGAGACTAGAGTTGGAGAATGATGTAGTAGCACAAAGTTATGGGCACTGTTATCAGCATTCCGAATATAACCCTGAAACATTGAAATTTTATACGGGTTATCAATATAATAAAAAACAAGCATCCAAATTAATAAAAATAGTAATATAACCCATTAATATATATGACAATTAAAAGTTGTACTCACGCAGTACTAAGAATCGTTGGATGAACATTGTATTCCTTAGCAAAAACAAAGGGTACAATTCCTTCGGAGAGTGTAGCCTATAATCAATGAATATGTCATTAACTAATTAACTACAAGTTTATTTCTATGGAAATATATGCATGCAAACAAAAAGATGCTAATGATGAACACTGTATCCCTTACCTGAACGATGGATACATGAAGGAGGTTACCACGAAGGCCAACCATGATTGCTGCTACTGCCATTGTCACCGGTCCTATTAAAAACTTTACAGCCATAGCTAATGCAGCCTTTGATCTCCCACATGCTATTATCTTAGGTTGAAGCGCCATAAACAAACCTTAAAGAACGTACAAAAACATAACCTTCTTTTAGTTTTAACTAAAACCCACCACACATTTTTGTATTCTTTTTCCTTTTTATATAACTATCTTTACTTTTTATAGAAAACAATGTAAATGCAAGTTGTTTCAAATAAGGGTTTACTTTACATTGGTCATGACCAAATACGTATACAACTTTAGGAGGCAATTAGCACGAACATGTTGTTGCTAAAAAGCCGACAATGTAATTTATTGTATTCAGTTAGACCCGAGACTTGTTGACATAAATTAATTGCTTCTTTATGTGACGAACCAAAACCAAAATATGACATTAAATAAAAGGTTTCAGTTAGCTCTATACGAAATCATATAAAACTTTTGGTGCATCTTTCAACTATTGGGGTGTCCCTTTATCAAGGAGATTGAATTTCCAATTATTTATAATATAACTAGTGATATTGTTTATTAAAAAAATAATAATAATAAATAATAAAAAACTTACATACCTAAACTAAACATAGCCATTCCAAGACCAGCGTTGGATATCAAGGAGATTGAATTTCCAATTATTTTTGGCATTTCCACATGCCACCTGAGTTCAAAAATTACTAAATACTACAAATCTAAAAAAGCATAATATTGGATCAAATCAATTAATAATGTAATAGTTTACCTGAAAGACACAAGAGACCAAATTAGACCCATGATGCTGGCGTACGTGTTAGGGTTTCTAATCAATTTCCGCCAAACCATCATCAATATCAAACGGATCATCACACTCGCCGCCGGCATCTGTTTTCCAGACCCTTCATCCAGCACTGCCACCGTCTGAGGGTGGTGCTCCGCCGCCGCAGAGTCCAAACCCAGTTTTATTCTCTCCTTATCTCCACCTATCTCCCCCCGAACTTCTTCCGTCTCTGCATCCACGTTCAAATTCAGCACTTCCATGGAATTAGAAATTAACATCGAAAGGATTAGTTATTTATTTACCTTTGGTATTGTCATTCGGCGTTTCATGATCGGAGACCAACATCCGGATTTCCTTAGCTCCATGCTGACCCGGGCGATATGAGTGCTCCGTCGATTCCCGGAAATCATGAGTACGTAATTGTCCGCCTTTGTAAGCTGCCGTCGGCGCACTAGAACTCCGAGGAAACTTCTGGACGTCATGGCTCACTTTGTTTTGTTGGCCCTTTGTAACGCTCAGACAAGTTTCCGTGTTTGCGCCTGTAAAAAATACGTTATGTTTTCACTTTTGAGACAGTAAAATGTAACTGCTTTCTGAAAAATATGTTTTAGTAAACATCGTACCTTTCGCAAAAATCCTAGATCCACCCATGTCACGTGTTGCATGGTACAATCCAGACTTTGAAGAACTCATGTTGGGAGATACCGGAGCAGGGTCATTTTCGTAACTTGACAGCCTCGAAGTTAGACCCATCGACGGCTGAAAGGAATACGAATCCGCAGCCGGGCCAAAATTTGATAGCCGGCCGCCGGGAAACCCCGTAATGGAGAAGAAATCCGATTGGTTGAAATTAGAACATCTCGGAGTTTGGATAGCCGATGAACTTAAACTGTAAATTTCAGCTCCTGAAAGAGATCCGACTCCAATCGACTTTCTTGAAGCGTTAGATTTCCTCACCATGACATGAAGTCTCCCGTCATCTCCAATTTCGGTCGCCGTTTCAAGAAAATCTTGCCCGTCAAGAGAAACAACGTCTGTATCAACCTTTATTGAAACGATGTCGCCTCCGGATTCCGGGAACCGTTCCATGATCAGCATCTTCGCGCCACGAAACTCGAAAAAGACAAGAAGCAAAGTGTACCAAATTATGCACTGCATCACCACCACCTGAACCATCAGTGATGCTGTAAAATCACCATACATCGCACTTACTAACGGAATCCCGATCACGAGGGTGTTGGGGAGGGTGGAGAGTGAGAAGATGGTGATCATCCATTCAAGGTTGCCGGATTTGGTGAACTTGACCCAGAGGCCGAGCACCAGCAGCATGATGATCTTCTGGAGGGTGTCGGCGGCGAGGAAACGGAAGTTCATTGTGTAAGGATCGTTCATGGAGATGAAGTGGAAAGAGAGCAAAGGGACAGCGAAAATGGCGACAAAACGGTTGATGCCGGAGCACTGGTCGGGGGTGAAGATCTTCCACCACTTGACGCTGCCGTAAGCGAGAAACATTGCGACGTATAACGGCACCATTGCTTTCACGATGGTGTAAAAGTCATGTCCACTGATCATTTCTGTACACAGAGAAAATACAGGATATAGTTTTAGAGAGTGTGTGTGTGTGAGAGTATAGTATTGTACATATATTAATGTAACGAGGGGAGATCTATGGGGAGAATTTGATTGTTCACATTTCTGTGTAGGTGTGATTGACTGAGGTTTTGACCACATATAGAACTAAGTGATAATTATTTTTGCAAAATGCCTTGGAAAATTATGTAATTTTGACTTCGTTATGAATTAATAAACGGTTTCATGGGCTGATCTAGTTCATAACAAGGGTATGCAACTTGTTATGCAAATGCATATCCTTAATTTTTTCGTACATATGGTGATTTTTTAGAAAATAAATAAATTATGTATTAAATAAATTATGTATTAAATGTTATGTGTGCATACCCACGAGTTTGATTTCGCAAAGCTATAGATATATCTTTTGTGAAATTATAGACTTTTAATTGCATTATATTTAAAAATAACCCATCTATCAAGTTTTCACTTCAAGAGAATCACCTAATTAAATTTTAAAGTGATTTGAACCTATAAAATATATATCTTATCCGTTAATTTTGTATTTAAAAGTTCTTCCATATCGCTTTAAAATATCTTTTAAACGTTGCGTATTTTATTATCCAAATTTTGTTTGCGTATTTTATTATCCAAATTTTGAACAAAATGTAGGATTTTTTTTATTAAATCTTTTATGTAGGTAATGTTTTATGTTGTCACAATTTAATTTTGATTTTGTGGTTTTGAAGTTTGAAATTATTATCTAAAAAGATTTATTCATTTCCTTTCTTTCATATATAAGACCTTTGGATAATAAATAAGATTTTGTAGAGTATAAATAAGATTTTGATGCATAATAACCTTGATTTTATCATTTCTTGTATTCTACCTTTATGTGCTCATAATTTTTTGAGTGTATTTTTGAAAATTTTATTTTTGTACTATGGTTTTCTGGTGTTGTTATTTAACTAAAAACGATTTGTTATATGTGTCATATGAAATTAATGAAAAATCAGCTTATTATTTCCGCATACCCTATTTTATTTTTCTAGATCCGCCATTGAATGGCTTAATAACCGTTTTATCTGTATACATATATATTCCTGATACGAAGTATTTGATTAAGCGGTAGACCTTTCAAAAACAGATTTCTTAGAGACTAGAGTGAGTCATTGAATCAGTGTTCAAAAATGTTTGCGTGCTCCACACAAAGATTGCGGCTCGTGCACAATCACGAGTCTTCAGCGCATCCCATTGTTGTCTTCATCACCATCACCACCATAACCCATGTTAGACAAAGAGGTCTTCTATAATTTATAACCCTAGGTTTTCATAGGTCTTCGCCTCCATCCCTCTCTCCCTCTCTCGGTCTAGAAACACAAATCGTCATTGCATGTGTCTCTCTTTAAGCCCTCTCTATAAAATAACCCTAGTCGTTGCTCTTCCGAGGAACCCAAAAACAAAACATAGGTATTTAAGAGGTACATTATTTGTTTATATAGACTATTTGGTTAGTTATAGATTGTTATTTATTGTGTATAGTATAGATTTTATGTTCTTGTATAGTATAAGGGTCCTATATGTAAATATATAGCGGGAAGTATTATTTAAATGCATGTAATACATACAAACCTTAACAGGTATCGTCACTATCAAACATGGTATCAAGCCTCTTATGATGAGATTTTTTTTCCAGCGCCTACTGCTCCCTACACAGTCTCACTGCCTTTTGTTCATGTTCTAGTCTTGTCACTCATCACAATGTACTTTCAATTTCTTTTTGCTTCGAATACAAGCCATTTTCGTTTCCCGTGTGCAATAGGGTTGCCATGCAAGAAGCCTACCTACTGCCATTGATCTTAAAGATTCCACGTCTTCATTGCCTTCATCGCGTCTTCATCGCGTCTTCATCGCGGATGTAGTACAAGTCACGTTGCTACAATCCTTCTACCCACAGTAAATGACTTGATCTTTGTCTCGAATTTTATTTCATTTATTACTTGATTTTTCAGTATCATTTCCACCATCCCTACAACCTTATCTACTACCGTTCATACTTCCCAACAACCGATCTACGTGGTTATGAATGTTTATAATCAATTTAGTTTCAAACTAATAGTATAATATGGTTCCAAGTATAAGTTATGAAGAATTTTTTTTCAAGATATTTGCAAGGGTGATAAGGTCCTTAATCACATAAATGGAAAATCTCAACCCACTAGTGAAGATGATGAAGATTGGGAGTCTATTGATTCATGGGTTAAGTGTTGGTTCTACCCACTTGTGATCCAAACCTTCTCCAAATTATCTCTAATGATAGTTGCACCGCTAAGGACTTATGGGACAATCTTAATGATTTTTTTTCTTAATAATAAGATGTCTAGAATGATCCAACTATGAGACCAATTTCGCAATACGAAGAAGGAGCTTTTTGTATTATCGAATATTCTCATAATCTCAAAAATCTAATTGATGCTTTATCCAATGTTGTCTCCAAGATTACTAAGGTGGAATTTGTGATGCAAATTCTACGGAAACTCCCTCATTTATATCATATATTAGGAAAACCAAACGATACATGTTCTCAAATAGAGATTAAAAGTACAACTCAACAGAGATTCATCCTACTCACCAAGGATACAAAAGACACACCAAATGATTTTGCAGACATCTCTATTTATATTGAAGAGATCAAACCTAAAACCCCAATGGGCCAATCCTGTTGGCCCATATGCTCATGAATGGTGCCAATCAATCATAATACACCACGCAACAACTTCTAGAACATTTACCCTTGATTTACATTGCATGAGCATCAACAACACACATGATAAAGCATCATGATCCACAGTGGCTCATCATGATGCATGAGTGGCACAACAAGATCACCATGAATCATAAATCATCATGGTGTCACATTAAGAAATAGTCCTTGAGCACTTCAACATATAAGCAACCTTGAACAATCTTGATCATCATAGAGCACTTTATAGCATACATGCCTTATCAAGGGATACCGTGGCCCATCAGGATCAAATATGGCACACCATGAACATGTGTGGCACATCAAGCCACTTAATGGCACATCATGATGCATAAATGGTGCATCGTGATCATTAATGGCACATCCATGCTTCAACAACATATCGATACTTCAGAGTACTCCATAACACACTAGAGTGGCATACTGATAGGTTTTATACAAACAATCATATGTATGCATGCAACCCTAATTGGATCTATGTTTTCACTTTTAGACATACAACTTTATGAACACAAAAAGAAATCTAGCATGGATCTATTATTTTCAAAAATCAAAAAGAAGAATAAAGATCACATACCTTTATTGTTATATAGCAATAACAACTAGTTCCTTGAATTTCCTTAGCTCTTGAAAGCAAGTACCACAAGTGTAGTACCTATAATGGCTCACAAACACACTTGAGTGAGAGGATGAATATGAGAGAGAAAGGATGGAGGGTAACAAGCAATCGGTTATACTAGGGTTTCTCCAAGGGGTGCCAATTTCTAGTGCCTTAGGGTGCTATTTATACTTGAAGTTAACTAGGGTTTCAGGGTGGAAACCCTAATCCCTTAACTTAGGGCCCAAGCAAGCCCATGGACTTCTTACCTTAAGCCCTTGGATGAAAACTCCTAGATCCTTCTATGATTTTTGGCCAAGCCCTAATAAAGGTGATTCAATGGCCCAAAGCTTCAACTATAAAATAATTACAAAATAGCCCCTGCACTTTTAATCAGTTCTTTGTAATCCCAAAATTAATTCCTAATTAATTTCTAATTAAATACTAATTAATAATATGATCCCATACTAATATATTATTCACATAATATATTAACAAATCATATTTATACCCTAATTTATTATTCTTAACAATAAATCAGCCTCTCTCCTCAACAATCATCCTGTCTAGTCACAAGTGTGAAGGCAACCCAAAAGGACCATGCTACAACTGGGTCAAGTACATACCAAATATAGTTTTGGACTTCGATACTACTCCAACAGTCTCCCACTTGGATAAGTCTAATAACTAGAGGTGCAAGTATGACTTCAAAATCCGATTAGCAATCGTATCTATCAAAAGCCGATGTTAAACTCTGACTTGTCCTTTAGATAAGGGATCGTATAGTCCTCCATTCTCAAGATATAGTGCGGATAATTACATGAAACAAAGTCATACTTATTGTCCAGAAGTTCGTTTCTCGATCTCTGATTTTTCTAATATAGAACTTAATTGAACACATCAACTTAGTCCTGACCGGGCCAGGCACATAAGTCAGACCAAATCATCGAGGGGCTGAAGATATCGATTTTACCCTCTTAGGGTAAAAGGAACAAATAAACTTCAACTTATATGCATTTAATATTCACTTATCAAATCATACACAACAATGTGTTTTATAATATCAAGTTACTGATGCATTTATGCATCATCAATGCATAACCAACTTGCAAACAATAAACCATATATCTAGGTTTAAAGACTATATGATATTATCGTCTCAAAATCACTCGTGACAAATTCCATGAAGTGATTCAAGTGAGCGCGGGTGTATTCCAATACTCAAATCTTATTTTATAAGTATTCATGAACGTTGCAGCAGGCTTTTGCTATGTCTAATACACTTTAGACAATCTACAAGCCAATCATGTCTGTCTTCTTTCATACCTACTTCTAAAGTGTGAGCGACTGTGGATTGTTCGGATAATCTTATTATTCAGGAAGTCAAAACATGAAAAGTGAAACAATAGGTAAATAATTAACATAAGACAATAAATTTACTTATAAATAATACTCCTTTATTTAATCATAAAATGTTAATTACTATATATCTATTACACGTTTCGAAACTATCTAATCTAAACTAATATCGTCATTCAGCCCAATACTCCCAGCGTGCTGCAAGTGCTTAACCCTACCCAGTCCCTTCGTAAGGGTGTCTGTTGGGTTATCCTTTGACAATACCCACTTTACTACGAGGAG